TGGAACTTTTTGCCAGGGATGTTGTGAAGGCCAAAATTATAACAGGGTTCAAAAAAGAACTAGATAAGTTCATGGAGGTTAGGTCCATCAGTGGCTATAAGCCAGGATGGGCAGGGATGCAACACCATTCTTTGAGTGTCCTAGCCTCTGTTCGCCAGAAGCTGGGAGTAAACGACGGGATGATGGATCACTTGATGATTCCCTGTTCTGTTCATTCCCTCTGAAGCACCTGGAATAGTCACTGTCGGAAGACAGGATACTGGGATAGATGACCATTGATCTGACCAATATGGCCATTCTTACATAAAAATAATAATAAAAAAGTGTAGTACAGAAACTCCCCAAGCTAATGACCTCTTGAGATAGCGATGATGTGAGATGATGACCTTGATAAATAATGCATTTTAAAAATCTTAGGCCTACTAGGAAACATGTATTTATATAAGTTTCCCAGTCACAAATTTAGCATTCTGGAGCCAAGTCACTAAAACATTGTTCAATGCTCTGGCCGCTGGTGTTTGTCGTGCCACCGTTCACTCTACTGTTCCGTCCCCCAGTGGCCCTGCACTGTCACCTTCTGCTGCCACCGTGACCTCTGCAAGTTGGTCTCTTGAGGTTCCACCCAGCTCTCAGGGATTTCAGCTCTCAGTGGAGGAACCTAGCTGCTAGTGCAGGCTGGGTTATCTCTTCCTGCAATGCTGTCCTGCAGCAGGTCTAAGCACTTAGCCCTGATTATCATTGATTTCAGCTCCAGTGGTCAGTTTTAAAGCCTAATCAGCTCTCTCTCTAAACAGGAGAGAGGGGCAGGTCAAAGACTGCCTGTGACTCTTAGGCAGAACCCACACCAAGCAAAACACCTGTGCCCCACCCTCTCTCTCTTCATTAGGAGATGGCCTCCAAACCTCCTGCTTAGCGAGTGCAGTTCAGTTGAGAGTGACCAGTGCTTAATTTGTAATGAAAGAGGTGCCGGGGCTCAAGCAAGTTAGTTACTTTCATAACTGATGCGACAAGCCCAGAGGTGCCGGGGCTATGAACTGCCAAGCCTAGAGGTGCTGGGGCTCAGCCCTGGCACAAATTCAACACTGAGGGAGATTTCCCCCCCCCCATTCAGTCAGGCTAAGCACAGTTCTGCTGCCCTTTGCTCACACAAGAACAACAACATTTCATGACCCCCACATAAAATACTTAAGTGATTTGTAACCCAACACCAGCCAAAATCGATCACTTGGGTAACGCATCTCTGTCTGCTGGATACCTAACCAGAGTAGGTGTGTTCATGTAAATACAGTTTGGTCCTGAAGCTTTCCACCCACCACTGGCTCATCATTAGCTGTCAGAGGAGAGCTCATTCAGACCTTGCTTATAAATTTGAAATTATTAGGTAGGCCAATATAACCTAAACAAATGTGTCCACATTGTCATAAATAACAGCTGTATGAGGAAACTAATCTTTGTTCATACTTTTCAAACCCATTATGCTTTCCCACGTACACGTATTTTCTCATATACTGTATATGCTTTTAAAGTGTGTATAAATGTTTCAATTTCAACTCAAATTTCCAACCAACAACTAAATTGGCAACAATGCATGTAACTGGGGGGAGGGATGTTGGAGAAATTCAGGAGGGGTGTACACCCCCGCCGGGGGAAACTAGGGAAATCCCTGCCTGGAGAGGAAGGCCAGGGCAGGGGAGTTTAATCTCACCATGTGGAAGAGGTGAAAGTGTATTAAAATACAGGCCAGGAATACAGAGAGCCAATCCACATAGCCCACGGAGCCAGGGCAAAACGGCCTTACAATACATTAGTTACTAAAGCATCATGCAGTGAGCACTATTATATTACATAGGTTCCAAGGCCAGCAGGGTACTGGGGTCATCTAGTCTGAACTCCTGCATAACACAGGCCATAGGACTTTGAGTCAGGGAGCATACTTTTAGAGCTACTGCTATTGCACAAGCTGCAGTGGTGTGCGCAAGTCAGGTTCACAATTGGACCCCTAAACCATGTGGGAAATCTGCTCTTTAAAGTGCCATCGTTAGGCTATGGCTGCAGACCATTCTCCAATTTGCTGAGTTGCTGGACTAGGACAGAGTTGCATGTGGAAGGTTCTCTCTGGCTGTAAAAAACAGAGGGCTGGTCTACACTGGCAATGCTAAAGCGCTGCCACGGCCGTGCTTTAATGTGCCTTGTGTGGTCGCAGTGCTCTCCCTGCCTTCAAAAAAAACACCTCCTCCCCCCCCCCCATACACACAACCCCACCTCCATGAGGGGCACAGCTCCCAGCGCTGGGGCACTGTCTACATTGGCGCGTTACAGCGCTGAAACTTGCTGCACTCAGGGGTGTGTTTTTTCACAACCCTGAGCGAGAAAGTTGCAGCGCTGCAAATTGCCAGTGTAGACAAGCCCAAAAGCTTTGATTCTGCAGGATTCCTCACAGCTGCTAATTAAATCCACCCTCCAGGCTGGGTGGATGACACCCTGCTCTAGTGCGTCAGCAGGGAGTGCTGCCTGGGTAGTCAGCCAGCTGTCAATCCACAACCATGATTTTTCAGCATGAGAATTTAGACAGAACAGCACCTGCAGGTGGGATTTAGCTCCAATGACATAGGGGCAGGCTCTCCCCTACAGAGCAGAAAGAGGCAGTGCAGGCCCAAGCCTGGACCACCCAGCTGGCAATCAGCTTAAGAGAGGAGACAAGAGGCACCTGTATCCAGTTATTTCATCTTTATTTACAGGGAAGGGCAGAACAGTACATCAGTCTTGAAAGCCACCTCACCCAGGCTGAGCCTCCAGCCCCTAGAAACCTCTCCCCCTCTGTAGGGCTCCAGACACTTGTTACCTAAGTGCTGGCCTCTGGTCCTCTTGGGGCAACCCAGGCGTCACTGGGTCTCAGGAGTAGGGAGACTGCCATGCCTCAGGAGTTTGTTGGAGGGGTTTCTGGACAGGGTGGAGAGGAGAAGGGCTTCTCATCCCATGACAGGAGAGGAAGAGAGGGAATGGTTTTGCCCCTGGCAGTGCTGACTTAGGGCATCTATTCCCTTCCTTGCCCCCTTGTGGTCTCAGAGAGCCTATCACACACCACGACTTCTCCCAGCAGCGAAAGCATCACAGTATGCTCCACACCAAGCCTCCACCCACGCCCGGTTCAGCTAGAGGAGAGGGAAGAGCCAGCAGAAGGTGAATAATAAGCATCTCTTTTCTCTAAGAAGCCAGGCCTCTAGGTTATTCCTCAGTTAGCCCAAGAGCAGGACCATGCAGCAGCCTTGCAGGACTCTAGATGTCCACACAGGGACAAGAACAAGCCTGAGCTTTGAAGGCTCACCCCAAAGCACAGGAGCCTGGTACTGAACAGCTCACAAAGACAGTGAGCCCCCTGGGAAGCCACCCAGTCCCATGTGGGGAGCCGCTTAGGCAAAAGGAGAGCAAAGTGCCAGCAGGCTTGAGGGCAGAGGCCACAGCACAGAGCTCAATGGGACATGACAAGGTTAGCACTGGGGGATTCCTCAGTTCTTAAGGGAACCCAAGATGAGCAGAAGAGACCCTTTCCAGTGCTGCTCCTTCCCCATGAAGAACCATCCCTTTGCTCCCATTCCCCACCCCCCCATGGAGGCTCTTGGGGTTGGGGGGGTCCCTATCACCACAGTGATAGCCCCTCAAGCACAGCTGTGCCTGACAGCTGCAGCACTGGCACTAAATTGAAGTCCCATGGTCTGTGTCACATCATGGCAGTCACTCACCACCAGCACGGCCATCTGCCCCTCGGAATGAACTGTAATGGCTTTGGTCTCCGCAGAGCTCTGTGAAAAGAGCAAGTGCTTCGGGATACTGTCTCCCAAGGCAATACTGGCAGGCTGGGGTCTGAATACAGGCACATGTGGGTTTAGCACCTTCTCAGGGAGCAGAGAACTCGCTCCAGGTCCAGTCCAGCTCAGATCCTTAACCAAGCCAATTCTGAAGTAATTTGGAGGGCTAACACCCCAGCCCAATCAGGATGGCCCCTCTAGACCTGCCCTCTACCGTACTCCCCATAGCAGTGACTGCTCAGCCCTTTGCTGTTCTAGTAATAGGGAGAGAGAGAACACGTGCCCAGGGGGCTCTGAGCGAACAGCAAGCCCAATGCTAAGTCGAGGGCCCTGAAAAGAGTTTGCTTTGCCCAGCACCAGCAGGGAGAAGATCCCACCAGCTGGCAAAGAAGGCAGGTAGCAGGGAGAGTGTGGACACAATCTGATCCTCTGGCCCAAATCCCAGCCAAAGCACTCAGTGGTTTGCCCTGGGAGTTTCAAGTAGAAACTGGTCATGGGGCCATGCTTCTCTAGGGGGCAGAGGTTCCAGTCTCAGAGGAGCTTGATCTAGGGTGGCCCCAGAGTGCCAGCAGTGCTAGGCTCTTCACAGCCAGCTGGGCATGAGACACACACCCCTGTGCCAATGCTGCAATGCCCTGGTATAACATTACTCTGCGGGGCTTACTGGGAGGGGCTGCTCTGTAGCTTCTAGCCCAACTGCCTTTCTTCTCCCCACAGACCAGCTGGGGAGCAGCCTCAGGGATGCTGTAAGCAGAGCTTGAGCTCAAACTCCGCTCATGGAGGACCAAGGCCACTTCAGACAGCATGCACGTTTTCCCCCACCCCCACACACTACACAGGCGCTGCCGAGCTCTCACCTGGCGCTCTTGCTATTTCAGCAGCTAGCCAAGGGATGGTGCTAGAGCGCACTCATGTCTATCATATTGCTCTACCCATGGCCCCAGGCCTTCCCCTACCAAAATCCAGGCAGCCGAGGAAAGCCCCCAGACACTTGTAGCCAGACAGGGGTGAGGTGCTCCTGACACCCAGCCATGTGGCAGGACTCTGAGGACCAGCAGCTGTCAGCCAAGCCCAGAATTTCATCCTTTCAAAATCCTCTCCTCCCCTCCCCCCCAGCCAGTTCTTTGTGGGATGAATCACTCCAGCCCCAAAACCACAGCCAGCAGGAAGTCAGCTGAGGGACAGGGGCAGTGCTGAGTGACTCAGGCAGGAGCACTGGGGAGCCTTGGCAAGGCAGGCAGCTAGCAGGGATGGGGGAGGGAAAGCAGAGTAGGAAAGGGCAGCCAAGGTTTCAGCCCTCAATCCCTACTCCACCCCTCCCCACCAACCAAACCCAGCACCCTCCTGCAGAACAGGCACAGCAGCTGTGTGACAAGCCACGCAGGCCAGCAGCAAAAGCATCACAGTATGCTCCACACCAAGCCTCCACCCACGCCCCAGCCATGGGGTGGCTGCTTCTGGCTCCTAAGCCACTTGGTCACCTAGTTTGAAGCCTTTGCTGCAGTTTTCCCCTCCCACACTTACCAGTTCCCCATGCCAGCAGCACCCGTGTGTCCCCCTCCGCCCCCCTGTCCCAGCTGCCTTCAGCAATACCAAGCCTGGCAAATATCTTATGGCAAGTAGTTTTACATTGTTCTTTTTACACAAAAATAGAGCGATTCTGTATTGATAGACGGTTCTGTGCTGGAGTGGTTACTGAGCGAAGCCAGCGGTAGGCATCCCCAGCGGCATCTGGGAATCCAGATGCTCCTCTCTCATTTCCAAGATACAAAATTAAAGGCATGTGTCTCCATCTGGTTTCTTAAATATCGGGGTGGGAGTGTGATTGGACACAGTACGGACAGATCAGCTGCAGCAGAGCCCAACCACCATCCACCCCCAACCTCACCCCAATGTCTGGGGTCAGTGTGGCCGGCTACTTGACTCAGAAGGCTGCCTCTGGCACGGAGCGGTGTAGCCATTCAGGCAGCTGTTGATCTGGCGTTTGCTATGTCCTCCATTCAGAATGTCCTGGATGTGCTGCACGATCAGGTTTATGGCCACTGGGTGTGGGGGAAACAGAGCTGGGTTAGGATTGTACAGCATAAATGAGTCCCAAGCTATAGAAACGGGGCCACTCCCAGCTCCCTTTGCAATGCAGTGGGGCACACGCCCAGGAGTGCCAGGCTGTCAGCACTGCAGGGAACAGTCAAGTCACTGAGTGATAGCTTCCCGCATGCAGGCGGCGCCTCGTCCTCTCCTGCAGCCAGAGAGGAGCCATGCAAGTCAGTGGAGTGACACTGATTCACAGCAGCTGAGGAGCTGGCTTTGCCGCTCTACTGGGACTATCCGAGCATACGTACTTTAGACATACTAAGCCCCCTTTGCCTTAACATGTCTCACTCCAGGAGTTCACACTGCAGGATACATGCTACTGAGTTACTACCTCTTGTACTCTGACTCACACAGTAAGCTGCAGCCTGCCAGCCCACCCATGCAGCAACAGGGAGCATCTAGGAGTTTCCCCATGGGAGAGCACCTCCTCCAACCAAGTCTGCAGACCGTAACCGACCTTAAAAGCCAGATATGGGACTCATCACCTCGCTAGGAGCCACACTGGCTCCCATCTAACCCCAGCCCCGCAGGGGTCATTCATGTCCACGTGCCAAACAGCAGCCAGGGCCCCCTTAGTCAGTTTCCCCACATGAACCCTCCCCATTCATTGAGGAGCATCACCGCTCACCTTCATTATCTGCCCCCCTGGGGATGATCACGTCAGCATACTTCTTGGTCTGTGAGAAGAGAGCACGGTGTTACAGGAGAGACCAGAGCGTGTAACTGACCCAGCCTTGAAGTATTTTCATTGCTCCTGCACCTCTGAAGATTTCATACCATAATCCCGTAGTGCCAACCCCAGTCAGGCCTCAGAAACCAACGAACCAGCCACCCCACCATGGGACGTTAACACATTCTGGTTTCTTTTCATTTGCCCTCTTGTTTGAGCTTTAGGCTATACTCTGAGCACGTTTTCATGCTTTTCTCCACAATCATGAGGGCTACAAAGTTTCATTAGTAAAAGTTGTGATCAGGTGAGAATCTCATGACTCCGGAAGTTGGTGCTTCAAGATAAACATCCCACCAAAGATCACCAGACTGGCAGTAAGGGTCACAGGAGTTGACAAGACTGAGTTCACAGGGAGTTTGTGGGGAGAGGCTGCCAACTAGTTTGTTTAGACGGGATTTCAATGTTGCTTACACTTCCCTTCTGGAAGGTTAACGATGCAGCATCCCACTCTTTGCTGGCTCACACCTTCCTTCCCCATGATGCCAACGCCAGCTTCATCCCAGTCTTGGCATTTAGCCTGGAGCATAGCGAAGCCACCCACACTGCACTATCAGCATTAAAACCAGAGCACCAGGCCAAGTGTTTAATAGACTAACACGGCTGCTACTCTGAAACCGTTTAATAGTTGTCGCTGCTGCAGGATCTGCCCTGCACAGCCACACCCTGAGGGCTCCCTGAGGCGGTGGCCAGGCTGTGGAAATAGCTTCTCCCCACAAACTGTTACATTATTCATGGCTTTAGACAATGGCAGTTACGAGAGCCCATTACAGCCTAGCTCTGGCTCTTAGGGCTTATCTACACTAGCACTTTACAGCGCTGCAGGGGTGTGAAAAAACACCCCCGAGCGCAGCAAGTTTAAGCGCTGTAAAGTACCAGTGTAGCCCGTGCACCAGCGCTGGGAGCTATGCCCCTCATGGAGGTGGTGGGTTTTTTTGTTTTTTTTTAAATAAAGTGCTGGGAGAGCTCTCCCCCAGCGCTGTGCCATGACTACACAAGCCGCAGCAGCGCTTTAGTGTTACCAGTTTAGACTACCCTTAAGACAAGGTGGGGAAAAGTAATATTGTTTATTGAAAAAAGAACAGGAGTACTTGTGGCACCTTAGAGACTAACAAATTTATTAGAGCATAAGCTTTCGTGGACTATATGCATCCG